TGAGATATCATCAGCCTTGTGATCGGCGAATCTGTAATGAAGCTTATATAAATTTAATAGGGATATTATATGAGAAGACGTAATCTTATAAAAGACAAAATGATAGAGAAAGTAAAGTACTTGAGTATTATAACAATGATGTTCGTAACTTAATTGAACTCAATATCCATCCAAAATTATTTCCTCTTCTTTCTGTGGGATAAATACGAATACTATTTGGATTAGCAGTCAAAAATTGTCTTTATTATTGTTTAAATTTAAGTCATCATGGTATTTTAATAGTTTCTTCTAGTGCCCTAATAATCAAATACCTTTATTATTGTTTAAATTTAAGTCATCATGGTATTTTAATAGTTTCTTCTAGTGCCCTAATAATCAAATACTGCGAATTTTTTTTTTTTTTAGAGTTCAATAAAAAAAAAACAAAAAAAAAACCGATAATCACGCGATCAGGTGATTGATTGTATATATTAGCTGCGATCTGTAAAATTTATCATAAATACGCCATTTCAGTGATTTAAACGATTCGTAAAACTCATGATATTCGATCGATCATAGCGTTAAAGCGTTTCATGTATTTTATGCAAGATCTCACAAAGGGCAGCATCTATATGAGCAACCATCTTCATAATATTAGGAATTCTTGCAATGAGATTTCAAAGTTAAATTGAATCTATTTCAGTTGAAATAAGGGAACGATTTTGGTTGAAATAAGCTACGGTATTTACTATTTTATTTTATTTTTCAATAAGTTTAACGGGCATATGATATGATAAATTTATATTATTAACTACCTACACATAAAGATTTTCACGAATAGGGAGTCACTTCGGAATTATAATTTCGATTTTTAAGCTCCATTTATTTTCGAATGTGCTATTTTTCGTTAGTTTTGAACCCCAAATACCAATAATTGAAATATGAACTATTCTTAATATTAAAATTCCTTAAATATAATCGCCAAGGTTTACTATTTTTATTGTGATCTTCAAATTTGGAGGCATGCCATTTATACGTACATACTATCATATGTGTCATATTAATGTGGCTTTAATATGTAATATCTCGACTTTAACTAATTTTATTACATTCACTTTCCATAAGTGCCGTTGTAATTCAAATAAGAAATTTTAACAATGTTTTCAAGGAATCTATTTTTACATTATTTATAAAAAGCAAATAGAGTATCGTTTTTCTAATTTTATGCTTTTTCTTCGATGTTTTTATTTGGGAGTTTATATTTATTTTTATAAAACGCACTATTAAAAAAAAATAAAAAAATGTTGGAAACATTATTTTACCTGAGCTCTAATTTTAGGTATATATGTACGTACGTCATTTCGAAAATGGATGATTGATACAGTAAATGGGTCGTTAATACATATTTGTCTGTATGATGCATGATAAATAAAGTTTCGTTATGATTTACAGTAATCCTAAAATACTTACCTTATTTATGATTATACAGTAGTCCTAAAATACTTGCCTTATTTAAATATTTTAAGAACTTCCGCTTAAATATCTTATTACGGATCTATGCTGAATGTGGAAAAGGTGGTAACTAAATATGTTTAAAACAAATAAGAATAAAAAAGCAGGTTCAAATTTCACTTACCGGTACTTACGTACATAACATGAGATTTTAAGTGAAAAATGAATCAAAAAAACGCCTCCGAACTTCGTGAGCTTGGATATAAATACCAAAAAGGTATTAATGTAGATAAGGACAAAAAAAAAGCTTTCAAATTATACTTAACATCCGCAAATATGGGTGATGCTATTGCAATGAACGATGTTGGTACCTGTTATGAAGATGGAATCGGTATTGAAAAAAATGAAAATAAAGCATTCATTTATTATCAAAAATCTGCTGAATTAGGTCATGCTCAAGGAATTTTTAATGTTGGTTATTGTTATCGTAATGGAATTGGTGTTGAGAAAGATGAAAGTAGCGCATTTATTTATTATCAAAAATCGGCTGAAATAGATGATGTTAATGGAGTATATATGGTCGGTTATTGTTATGAAAAAGGAGCTGGTGTTGAAAAGAATGAAAAAAAAGCCTTTATTCATTATCAAAAATCTGCTGATATGGGTCTTGCTATTGGAATATATGCACTTGGAAACTGTTATAAAGATGGAATTGGTGTTGAAAAGGATGAAAATAAGGCATTCGTTTATTATCAAAAATCTGCTAATTTGGGACATTCTAAAGGGACATTTAATGTTGGTTATTGTTATCAAAATGGAATCGGAGTTGAAAAAGATGAACATAAAGCATTTCTTTATTATCAAAATTCAGCTGATTTGGGTGATGCTGATGGAACATATAATGTTGGTTATTGTTATCATTATGGAATTGGTGTTGGAAAGAATAAATATAAGTCATTCACTTATTATCAAAAATCCGCTGAAATGGGTAACGTTCAGGCAATATATAACGTTGGTTATTGTTATGAAAAAGGAATTGGTGTTGAAAAGGATGTACCTAGAGCATTTGTTTATTATCAAAAATCGGGATTCACTGATGGATTAAGTAGAATTGGTATTTGTTATATGAATGGATTTGGTATCGAAAAAGATGAAAAAGAAGCATTTAAATATTTTAAGAAAACTGCCGATATGGGTAATAGTCAAGGTGCATTCAATGTTGGATATTGTTATCTTAATCAAATTGGTGTTAAAATGGATGAAAGTAAAATATTTGAATATTTCAAGAAATCTGTTGATACGGGCTATGCTTTAGGAATGCTATATGTGGGCGATTGTTATCGAAATGGGATTGGAGTAACAAGAAATATACAACGAGCAAATCATTGGTATAAAATGTATAAAATAGAAAGAGATTTAGTAAAATTGAACAATTTATTACCAGATGATATAGATCTTAATCTAAAAAACTTTTTAAGTAACGAAAAATATGGATTAACATGGATTTTTTATAATAAACTTAAAAATATGCGAAAGATTGGATGTGGGGGATTTTCAACGGTATATTATGCGTACTGGTTTAATGAAAGTAGAGGTTTATGGACTCATGTTGCGGTAAAATTGATTCATGGATCAAATGAGCGTACTCAAGAATTTATCAATAAGGTATCTATCGGTAATTTTTATTATTATTATTTTTTTTAACAAAAAATGAAGAATAACGTGATGTTAGTTAAAAAGATATAGTGAAATTGGATTCGAGATTCCATCATTCTTGGAATGTCATGGAATATCGAGAGATGAAGACTCAAAAGATTACGTGATGATTTTGAGTTATGCAAGAGAAGGATCTTTGCGACAAAATCTTCAAAAAATAGCACAAATGAATTGGATGGATAAGTTAAATTTGTTACATTGTATCGCTTCTGATCTAGAATTGATCCACTCCCATGAATTATTTCATCGTAATCTTCATAGTGGTAACATTTTGCAACATAATTTACATAGCACGTACATTACTGACCTTGAGTTATCAGAAAAGGATGACGGAAAAGTTTATGGTGTGTTGCCTTACGTGGCTCCTGAAGTTTTGCAAGGTGGGAAGTTTACTCAAATTGCCGATATATACAGTCTTGGAATAATTATGACAGAGATATCGACAGGAAAAAGAGCCTTTGATGGAGAATCATTCGACGCAGATCTTGCAATGAAAATATGTCAAGGAGAACGACCAGAATTAGATACCGAAACCCCTGGTTGTTACGTTGAATTAGCAAAAAGATGTATGGACAATAATCCTGACAAACGTCCAACTGCCACCACGATCGATCATTACATCGGTTATTGGTTAGAAATTTTGAATCATGAATATGATGATAACGAAACAAAGAAGCAATTTTTGGAAGCTGACAAAATAAAACCCAGAATAATTGAACCAAAGAATCCGAATGAAGCGTATACAAGCAAATTAATAAATACGCAAGAAATCATCGAAGGTTTATCCAAACCCACTATCCCTGATTATTAAATTTGTTATATAAATAAACAATAGATATACTTAGTCCACATAAGATTTATGGTATTCAGCGACTTTCAGTTTGAGGGGATTTGTTTAGATTATGAAACCAAAATAATTTTTTCCCTTATATACTAGGTTAGATCGTGCAATTTTTTCTACGTACAGTATTATGGCTTTGTGAGATCTACGGATCCGTCGAAGCCTTGTGCCCATGTAACTTATATGTAGGTCAACCAATAAAAATCATGAATTTTGGTGTGACGAAACAAAAGAGTACTGTAACAAGAAAAGAAATAAATAAAATAATAAAAAATGAAACAGTAATTTAATCCGCCTTATTCTATTAACAAATATAGTCTTAAACGATTCACTAAGAAAGGAAATTTTTTTCTGTTTTTATAAAGATATTTGAAATGAAAATTAGAATACATACATTATTACGGAGCGTTTGTAAAATTAAGCAATATTTTTATCGTCAAATCTAATATTTAGTCCTCAAATCCAAGTATTCAGTCATTAAATTTATTATTGGTCAATTAAAACTACATGCCCAAAATATTTTTTGCACCCCAGATTTTATAGCAATGTCTAACTCATCATCCGCTCCTACAAAAATTAAACATTTGATAACAAGAGTTAACAGATGATTAATTATACAATGAGCTCCGAATGGAGCTCAAGGGTAGTAGGCCACAGCATCAGGCGTAACCTGACTCAACAACTTGAGCAAGATGTTTATCGCCCATTCACATCTCTGTCAATAATTAACCACATTCATCACATTTAAATTTCTAATATATTCACATTGTCCACATGTCAGTACAAATAATCAATCCTCTACCAGGATATTTTCTCATCTTGTTTAATAAGAATTGTTGAAATCAAAAATGACTCCATGTTAACATATTATATATAGTTTTCATTCTGATTTTTTGTTTTGTTTGCCTTATATTTCATGTTTTCAAAATGAAATGACAATCATTGACCAAATTATGTATCTTGTAATAAATTTGTTACATTTTTCTCTTGATCACATAACATTTTCTTGAATTCATAGACTTTGATATTTATCATGACAAACACAAAGTCTTGATAATCTAAAAAAATCATTATTACAAAACTCTACAACATTTCCTCCAGAATTGTGTTCTGTTACAAATAATCTAACACCAAAATTCAGACTAATTATTCCTCCTTCTTTCTCATTTCTCATAGAAAAAGGTATTGATTCATATGTGCAAGTAATACATGTTTAGCTTATCTTTTGATATAATAATCTCATTTTTATTTTTCATATTAATCAATTCACTTTTCTTGATCTCTTTAAAAAGGAAAATAGTTCTTTTTTGTGATTATAATCTCTTGTATTTATTCAGATTTAATCTTGCTTACAATGTTTTTTGATTTGAATCTCATTATATATTCATTCTTTTTTAATTTGGGTTTAAAATTTTTTTAATTTCAGAAATGCATTATCACAAATCAATGATGGAGTCTTTAATACTTGACACTTGTTGTTTTTGAAATTTTCAACTCTATATCCTTTACTTCTAACTTGTAAATTCTCAAATTTTGATATAGGTTTATCTAGATATGCTCATTCATCTCCTCAAGATTATTTGCTATTTCTTGGTATTTGTAATAGTATAATATAAAAAATATTTAATACTGAAAAAAAAATATATATTTAATACTGAAAAATATATATCAATATATTTATTTATTTAATATTAAAAAAAAAATAAGAATAAAAAATATTTATTTAATATCGAAAAAAATAAAAAATTTAATATTGAAAAAATAAAAAAAATAAAAACAATTTAATACCAAAATAAAATTTAATACTGAAAAAAATATTATTTAATACCAGAAAAAATAAAAATAATTATTAAGATTCTATATTATCAAGATTGTTATTGTCAGATAGTGTAGAACCTACGGGCGGACTACTTAAATTAGGCACTCAAAAGGTGCATGTGTGGCTTGATGTACCATCGTTGTAATTGCATATAAAACACCGTTTCAAATCCTAATAAAAGCTTTCAGGCCAAAGAGGTCTCCTTAATCAATAAAAATAAAAAAAAAAGATTGTTATTGTCAATATTGATATAAGTTAGTGTCTTGTTCTCAAAAAGTGTACTAAGCAACTTCTTTATTCCACCCTGCCTGGTACTAATCCAAGTCTATTAGATTCAATATTCAAAGAAGTCAATATAGGGTTTTTTCTAAGTGCATGTACCAATCTTTTCATTATATTAGCCAAACAAAGGTTATTATTACCAATATTTAAGGAAGTTAAAGAATTGTTATTGAAAAGTAAATTTGCTATAGTGACTTCTCCATCATGTTTAAGATTATTATCATATAAATTTAAGGAGGTGGTCTTTTTATTTTTAAAAAGTGCTATAGTTAGTTTTTCTATTGAGAAACTAAGCTCATTGTTGCTAAGATTCAAGAAAATTATTACTAATATTTAGAGAAGTTAACGTGGTATTCTTGGAAAGTACTCTAGCTATCATTTCTTCTCCTGTTGAACCTATTCTATTGTCACTAAGAAATAGAGAGGTCAACTTAGTGTTCATGATAAAAGATTTGACAATTTCCACTGCTCTTTTTCAAAAACATTTTTATTAAGTTTTAGAGAAACCAATGCAGTGTTATTCAAAAGGGCTTCACCTATTTTTTTTCTTATATTTGGTTCAAGTTAATTATTACCAAGATTTAAAAAGGTTAACTTAATGTTATCACAAAGGGCTTTGGCTAATACTTTCCTCTCTTCTATCCAAGATTATTATCATAAAGGTTCAGGAAGGTCAGCATAAAATTATTGAGAAGTGTGTCTCTAAACTTTATTCCTTCTGTAGATCCAATATTATTCTTACCAAGATTCAGTGAAGTTAATGTAGTATTCTTGATAAGTGCATTGGCTAATGCTTCACCCCCTTCCGATCCAAGATTATTATCACCAAGTTAATGTAGTGTTTTTGGTAAGTATATTACACTTACTTCCAATTCAAGATCATTCAAATGAAGATTTAGTCTAGTTAATGAAGTGTTTATACAAAGTGCATTAGCTATTGCTTCTCCTTCTTCTAACCCAAGATTATTATTATTAAGGTTCAAATTAGTTAAAGTCATATTTATGCAAATTATATTTGCTAATGCTTGTTTTACTTCTACTCCTATTTCTGGTTCATATTCAATTTTTAACCTTTTAATACTGTTAAAAATTCTGATTTATCTTCAAAAAGATTCAAAGAGATTAGTATAGTTATATTTAAAATATTAGAAATTAAAGTATTAACATAATTGTTAATACTTATGTTTAAGACTTATACTGTTTCTAAGAATCTTTGCAACCAAAAAGTAAAAAACAGTACTATCAAGCTTGACTACCTTACTATTTGTCCATTTGCTAATGCCTTCATAAAGATCATAGCTAATGAATGTGATAAACTCTGTATACTCAAATAGTAAGATTGTTAGATAACAAGCAAATCTTGTATATTTTTAAATTTTTATTTTTTTATTGTTTTTTTATTTTTATTTTTTATTTTTTATTTTTTTGTAAGATATAGCTTACAGACCATTATATCTAGCTATAAATATAGTAACAATTGATAATAAATCTTTAACTAGTTCTTTATAATTGGTATTTTGTAATTCTATATCTGAACTAAAAACTACAAATCTAACTAATATTTATAAAAATTTATTCAACAAGCTCATTGGCAAATCTACATAATTGATCTTTTTTGATAATAACAACTTTTTTAATAACTTCTTTGATGCATCAGTTTAGAAGAGATAAAAAACTTATCTTTTAAAATTAAATTCTAATCCAATATCTAATACAAATTTATAATCCAAATATCATTGTTTGAGCTATTTGCATTGTTATTTAAGATTCTCTTTTTGCTTGTTTAAGCTGACTTATAAGTAACAAATTTTTTTTTTGTTTAGGTTGCTCATGGTCTTCAATAATCTTGAATGTCTTCAACAAAGTAGTAACAAAGTTATTAATATCTATCTTAAAGATAAAGCTAATGCTATAGTTTATAGATTATACAAGAATATAAATTTTGTATATATATAATTACTGTAATTAGAAAGTTGTATTTCTGTATTTTATATGAAGAGCACTAACAGATTTTTTATTTTTTTTTGATTTTATATATTCTTTCTTCTTTTTCAATTATATTATATTTAGTTTATTCTTATTTGACTTTTAATTAGTTATTTATTATTCTATTTTACTTCTATTCTATTATATCATTTTTTTATACAACATTACTATGCTATAACTAACTTTTGTAATCAATATTTAATTATTGATTAATTAATTCTGAAGTTCTCTTCATCATTGTATCTGATCAAATATTACATGAATTACATAAACCTCATAACAGTTTGATTGATTTACTCTAAGCATTTAAAGAAATTTTTTATTTATTTTATTTTATTTTGCTATCTTGTTTAATATATTTCAGATCTCTCCAATTCTATTTCTATACAAAGAATACTATATATTATATTAATCTATTATAGTAGAATTATTTTCTGTTAGATGTGACCAAAATGTTTGATTTATTCTTCATCTAACTATTTTGTAATATACTGATTTTGACTTTATATGTTTTTGAATTTTACTAGTAGAAGGATATATTTGTAGATTTGATTATTAACAGAGGTGGTAAAAAACTATAATATTTATATCTAAACTATACTAAAAATATTTGTAATAATGATAACATTTAGATTACTAATATAAATAATTCACTTAAATTGTGTAACATTAAATCTGTTATTCTGATTTGTCAATAAATTCTT